GGGGGGGGGTCTCCCTCTTGAAACTATGTTATATGTTTTTCTATTTTTCAGTAAATGAAACCCAGGATTGATGAACCTACAGGGACAGCAAGTAAAATAATGGTGCGGTTTTTTTTTTTGGTTGGTGGGGGGGGCAGGGTAGTGGGGGGTGATAAAAGGGAGAGGTTGTCCAAGGAGTCCAGAAAGAAAAAGTAGGTTTGGAAACTGATTGTGGAAGCACTTGTACAATACTGCTTGACATGATTGAACTATGGAATGATATGATATATGAATTAACTCCCAAGTAATAATAAATCAAAAGAAAAAAACACGAAAACAAAACATAGACCCAGGAATGAGTTCGGGGCTCACACTAAATCCTAGCTCCAACTTAAGAACGATTAGTTATTATAGCATGGCCCTGCTCGATACTCACCCTTAGAAAGGGAACACAGAAGAAAGATATGGGTGCTATAGCAAAATGTGGTAAAGAAATTAGATGGTGCCCAGCTATTAGATAAAATAGTGTCTGGGGTCTTACAGGCTTATCCCCAAACAAACAGCCATCTAAGCAAAATGTCAACTAAGTCCACATGTAAGAAGTACACCATCACCAGTCACTGAAGGATTGTAAATCATGTAATTAAAAATCGCAGGAGACATTAGTATAAAAGGCTGAATTGTGAGAATCTGATTTGCAGAAGGCGATGGATGGCAGTGGGAACCCAAGATTCATTGTGGAACTCCATAGGAAACAAGACTCCGGTGAACTCCCTCTATGCACAATTGAGGGATGGGAGGAAAGTGGTCACTAAACAGAGTGCTTGGGAGAGAGGAGTACAGAAGATCAAAGGCTTAATTCTGACCGGACCGTCAGTCGATCCCCACTCTGATGCATGCTGGACCTGATCTGCTTCCTAACATTTTCTGTATTTCTGCTGTTTTGCTTTTGTTCATCTGTATTAAGCTGTCTCTCAGAGGTGTTATGCCATTGGAGGTTGCCCTCTTGAAGTTGTATTATATGTCTTTCTGCTTTTTGGCATGTGAAACTCAGGAATGATGAACCTATAGGGACAGCAAGTAGAACAAGGGTTTTGGAGGGCAGGGGGTACAGTGGTGGTGGGGGCAGTGGTGTAAAAGAGAGACAATGTCCAGGAGTCCAGGAAGAAAAAGACTGTTTGGAAACTGCGGTAGCAATTGTACAGTTCTGCTTGACATGATTGATCTACAGAATGATATGTGCATTAACTCCCAATTAACAAACAAACAAACATAAATTACTGGGTCTCATCTTGCTAGCGGTGGTGGTGCTGTAGTGCCAGTTCCAACTCACAGCAACCCGTAGGTCATGTGACAGACTAATCACAGGGCTTTCTTTACACTAAGCTTCACTGGAGAAATCCACCAGGCCTTTCTCCCTGGAGTTGCTGGGTGGAATCTAACCACAAAACTTTCAATTAGCAGCAAAGCACTTAACCACCTGGGCTGCTTCAGCCCCATCCTCTGTGTACTGTTTTAGAATCTCTGGTTACAGAACCTCTGAATTTGTAATTTTACATTTACCTTTCCAGGTGCAATGCAGTGAATGATTTAGCAAAGCTCATTTAGCTACAGCCTTGGCTACTGCCACCAAACAACGTTTGTTTTCCTGATGGGTCTGGGTAAGAAGGTGGGGGTAGATACTGAGACGCTTATATGACTCAGTTCTGAAAGGCTCTTAACAGGATTAACGATGGCTGCCATCCTGGTGGATATAAAAGCAGCCATCTCAGATGCAGGCTAAATAAAGGGCTCTCACTACCTGCGAGAGAGAAGAGCCAGGAGTGTAGCATGTCTTTTGAACCCCGAGATCCCTGCACGCTGAACCTCATTGACTCAGGAGACAACGTTGGCACCAGAGGAGCAGCAACAGCAGCAGAACCAGGAGCCAGAGCAAGAGGCAGAGTGGGAAACTTCCTAACCACAGAACAAGTGAAGCTGTGTGCTTCGGGGCTGGAGGCTGGCTTGTGGAATGCCTTCAGGGTAAGGCTTACATTTAATATGCCTTTGGCCATTTATTGGCAGCCCTCTAAGAGTTTGGTAGCTTTGCTCAAGCAGGCCAGACCAAGAGGCTGAGGGCAAGAGTGTGACCTGCCTAAAGGCATGAAGAGAAGAATTTGCCTAAACAGCTGTATCCTGAGTGTTTCTCACCTGTTAACTTCCTAATAAACCCCGTAAGGGTGAGCACTGTCTAAGTTCTGTGTGGCCACTGCAATGAATTACGGTACCTAACGGAAAAGTAGAGAACGGTGCTCTGGAAGGGGCAGTTGGTGTCAGAATTTGTAAGGAAGCAGGCCTGATCTTAGTCTCCTAGGAATCAGCCCGGGGCAGCCGATGTCAGTGATGTCCTCCCCCTGTCTGTAGCTAGAAGGAGCCCTGGTGATGTGCTGGGCTCCAAGTTGGGCCGCTAACCAAAACCCCGCTCTGCGGGAGAAAGACGAGCCTTTCCGCTCACAGAAGGTGTTCCAGTCTCAGAAACCCGCAGGGGCAGTTCTCCCCTGTTGATCGGACTCGAGGGGATGAGTTTGGAGAGTTTGTGTAGCTGTGGGTCAGATGCCACCCTCGTGTCATTTTCTTTGATAACTGAAGGCTGGGGTGGAAGCATGTCTCACCTCTGCCTTGTGACAATCACCCTGGAGAGCTAGAAGGGGTCAGATGTGGCCTCCACACAGTTTCTTCTCCAGGTAATTCCAATCATGACCAGTCTAGTTTAGTAACACCAATGGTATATCACTTTATTCTAATAGCCAAGCCACAGAGGTATGACAAGACAACCCAGACAATAAAGCAGCACAGAAACAGCTCGAGGGCCCGGGAGTTGGAGGAGATGAGGCATGTGGTTATACTTCAGTTTCACCTAGTGTGCAGGAGAGGCAGAAGACCTGGGCAGACCAGACCCAGGCGTCTGGGAGCAACTCCTGCTCACCTCTAAGAAGGCAGAAGCCTGATGATCACATTCAGGTATTCTCTGAATTAGAAGCTCACGTTTGCTTTTTCGGTAGATGTGATGTGACCAATTTACCTCTAAGAATGAAATCCTACTGCTAGGACCTCACAACATTTGGTATAAAGTTTCCTGTCATCTAAATAGAAGCTGCTAAGCAAAGACAGATCGAGGGACCTGTTAAGATAAAATAAAAGATTAAAATTAAAAAGGCCAAACAGTCATTCACTCACTGCCATCAAGTTGCTGCCAACTCATTGCAACCCTACAGGACAGGGTAGAACTTCTTCTGAATTTCTAAGACCACAACTCTTCATGGCAGTAGAAAGCCATGTCTTTCTCCCCAAAGTTCTCACTCGTTTTTTAAAAAAGAAATGAAAGTAGTTCTTCTCATCTGACCCTTACAGCCAGCTTCAGTGAAGCATTGAGCAAATGTTACCCTCATCCTGTGAAGAGACTGGCCAGCACTTACCTTAATGGACAACGCATAGAGATGGTTCAGCATTACATGGTTGGGCTCGGGGAGCAAGGCTGGGTCACACTAAGAGAGGAAAAAACATCACTAAATGGAGTTTGACGACTTAAACTAAAGAGTTTCTCTTCTTCAGAGCTCTCAGGAACTAATCAGAAATGCTAAACTAGGAGTGTATTTTCTCTTTTTAAACAACACACCCATCCCCATCTCAAATTATTTCAATAGCACCTCCTCATTATGGAAAATTCGGAGCCAAGGGCAGAAACCCTAAACCTCACCAATTACTAATCTTTGGTAAGGCTAGTGTAAAAATCTTGCCCACAACACACCTATCCAAGATTTCGGTTGGATAAGCAACTGGATTGAATGAACAAAGATGTAAATTCTTTTCAGTTGGAGGGGGGATTCACTTATGTTATATATCTCCAAATTATAAGTTGAGTCTGCTGGAACAGAAGCCCCAGGTGGCATTAGAGGGAAGCACAACTCTGGGTCTGATTTTCTATGCACTCCCATCATCAGGAACAGGAGAAAACCCTGAGCGCCAACACTGGTACTGGAGGAAGCCACAACACAGTCCTAGAAAAAGAAACTGAGAATGCTGTTTACATGGATATGACTTATACTCTAACCACACCTTTGCTTCCAACCTCTACGATAATTAAAGTTTGGCCCAAATGGTCCCAGTGACCCCCAGGTGCCCTAGAGATACGAGCGAGCGGGATACTCACAGAAATGTTAGTGTCCTTGTTCAGAATAACTTGGAGAAGGTGGGGAGGAAGGATGGGTGGGGATTTGAATCGCTCCTCAGATCGAAACACATACATTTCTTGACCGTAAGGCCCTGGGGGTGAGCTGGAAAGGTCTGGAAGATATTTACCCAGATATGAGAAAAAGTTTGGAGAGTCAGCAAAAAACATACAGAAAAAGCTATCTTACATGGCAACCAATATTGGCTGCAAGGAACCCTGGTGGTGCAAAGGTGAAGAACTTATCTACTAATTGAAAGGTTGGTGGTTCAAGCCCACCCACTGCTCCAGCAAAAAAAAAGATGTGACAGTTTGCTTTCACATAGATGTGCGGTCTTGGGAACTCAATGGGGTGGGTCTACTCTGTCCCGTGACACAGCGGGGTCAGCAGTGAGTTTGGTTCTAGCCTGCAATGAAAACCATTTCAAGAACCAGTCGAATGACCTAAATTTCAGCCAAATACATACACATACATACAAAAAAATGGGCAATGACTGTGATATTAAACAATATTTTAAAATAGCATAAACTTGAAACTTTCAAAGTATCTCCAGGCACTTTGTCTTATGGTCCAACAGAGCATCCTTGGGAGTGTGCCTTAAACTCAAACCAAGCTCACTGCATGGCATCTGTCCTGACTCAGTGACCCGACAGGACTGCCCCTTGCTGTTAGCAGCTCTCCTCATAACCCCCACGCCACCTGTACATCGTAGGACACTTGTTATTTCCCTTTCATTAACAACTAAAACTAATATATACAAATTGACCACATTCTTCACCCAAAGTCACATAGATGGTGAGTGAGTATACAAAATTCACTTGATCTTTTTTGTTTGTTTCTCAGTCTCTCATTTGTCAAATTGGAGGACTTAGATTCTTCCTGAGTCTCAGTTGAGGAGACAACAGTGCCTTAAATGGGGTGTATTAGACACTCAGGACACAAGGGTGATTTATGCTGTTCCAAAAAGTAACATCAATAGTACAGTCATTGTTTGCAGGGGGGGGGAAATGAAATATTGTTTTCATTATGTGATCTCAGATCAGAAAGTAAAGCTGGACAATCTTTTTTAAAAAAGCATTTATCGTGAATTAGGTGAAAGTTTACAGAGTATGGATAATCTTGACTGATAGTATAATGATGGATAAGCTTTTAAAATATTAGATTCAATGATGAGGTCACTTGTGATTGGAAGTTTTTGTATAATATGATTCTGGCAAAGCAGCCAATGAATAATAGGCATATAACCATAATTATATACAGAGGACTAGCGTATTTCTTCTGCTCTATCTTTCTCACCTCTTTTCTCTCATTTTCTGATCTACTAGACTAAGACACATACTGATCCACGTGAGAGGGTAGAAACTGCCCATGGGCTTTCCTAGGCTACAAGCTTCGTGGCAGTGGACCACCCAGTGCTTCTGTCACGGAACCACTGAGTGAGGCTGAAAAGCCACCTTTCTGGTTGGCACTTCGAACTGTTGAACAACCTGGGCTCCGATGTAGCAGATAAAAAAACAAACAAACAAGCCCACGGCCACGGAGTTGATTCTGTCTCATCACAACGCTAGAAAAGGTTTTGGAGGCTGTAAATCTTTTTAAAATCATTTTATTGGGGGCTCGTACAACTCTTATCACAATCTATACATACATCCATTGTGTCAAGCACATTTGTACATTTGTTGCCATCATCCTCAAAACATTTGCTTTCTCCTTGAGCCCTTGGCATCAGCTCCTCATGTTTTCCCCTCCCTTCCTGCCTCCCCCCCTTCATAAACCCTTGATAATTTATAAAGTATTATTATTTTGTCATGTCTTACACTGTCCAATGTCTCCCTTATACCCACTTTTCTGTTGTCTGTCCCCCAGGGAGCAGGTTATATGTAGATCCTTGTAATTGGCTCCCCCTTTCTACCCTACCTTCCCTCCACCCTACCTTCCCTCCACCTTACCTTCCCTCCACCCTACCTTCCCTCCACCCTACCTTCCCTCCACCCTACCTTCCCTCCACCCTCCTGGTATTGCCACTCTCCCCATTTGCCCTAAGGGGTCATCTGTCCTGGATTCCCTGTGCTTCCAGTTCCTATCTGTACCAGTGTACATCCTCTGGTCTACCCAGATCTGTAAGGTAGAGTTGGGATCACGGTAGTGTGTGTGGGGGGGGAAGCATTTAGGAACTAGAGGAAAGTTGTATGTTTCATTGTTGCTACACTACACCCTGACTGGCTCGTCTCCTCCCCATGACCCTTCTGTAAGGGGATGTCCAGTTGCCTACAGATGGACTTTGGGTTCCCACTCCACTCTCCCCCTCATTCACAATGATATGATTTTTTGTTCTTTGATGCCTGATACCTGATCCCATCGACAGAGGCTGTAAATCTTTACAGGAGCAGATAGCCGCATCTTTCTCTCAAGAACTGTCTGGTGGGTTTGAACTGCTGACCTTGGGGTTAGCAAGCCAGCGCTTAACCCAAAGTATCACCAGGACAGTTGAGATTTTATAAAACTGTAGAAATGCCAACCAAGCTCTGATATTGCCAGTTCTGTTCCAAGGCAACTACACAAAGCAAATTAGGAAAATGTAGCCTTTGCTAGGAGAAATCACCAACAGTAAATGAAAAACTTAAATTACTAGTGATAAATGTTCAGATGACAGACCATGGCCCACTAGTGGGTTATAAAAGAAAAGATAAAATAGAAAGTGGAGTGTATCATCAGTAATAAGAGCAAATATAATAGGACGAGACTTGTATTATACAGTTGTGTGTGCGTATGTATGTATTTTGGGATGCAATGTAAAATACGTATCTTACTGCAGGTCCTGGTTTAAAGTTTGAAATAAAATATGAGGGGATACGTCCCCTCCCCCCCCAAAACGGAATTTTTTTTTCAGAGCCATGTATTTAAACTTTTTTACAAAACAACCTTATTACCTTCAAAGTACTCTCCATTACACTTAATATATTTGTCAAATATTCTAATCCATTCTTGGAAACATTTTTCAAACTCATCTGTTTGGATGGCTGACAAAACCTCCCTCGCTTTTTCTTCACCTCTTCTACATTGTGGAAACAAAAAGAAGTTGCATGGAGAGAGATCAGGTGAGTAAGGTGTGTGGGGCAAGAGAGGCATGCTGTTTTTACCCAAAACTAGTGCACTGAGATGGCTGTATGAGCAGGTGCACTGTTGTGATGGCAAAACCAGTCCCCCGTCTACCCCAAATCAGGTTGCACTGCTTACACAATCTTGTCAAAACCTCTAAATAGAAAGCTTGAACAGTCTGACCTGGTGGAACAAACTCCAAATGTACTACGAGTTGACATGTTCTTCCACTTGGGAAGTTGAAGAATGTCCAGAACAAGGTTTGTCATCAATTGGCATTTCACCTTCTTTGAAACAAGACCATCGTACACTTGAGGTTTTTCCCAAAGCACTCTCCTTGTAAGCTATGTTCAACATCCCAACAGTTTCTGTGGCATTTTTCCTGAGCAGGAAACAAAATTTCACAGGCCCATACTGTTCTCTTAAATGGCCATCACAAAAAAACGAGGTTTGAGGGAAACTGCTTTTATAAAAAAATTCATTGTGACCAGAGAGAACCTTCCCAGGTGATGCCACTGGGTGCTCACCTAGCAGGAAAATGCAGTACTAAGCAAACTCTGCTCTGCCCAGCACAATCTTATTTTTATGGGGGCACCCCCTCGAGTAGTTTGAGATAACAGATGATTTCAAAGGGTGGCTTAAGAAGGCAAAGTAAAGCATTATAATGAAAAATGCAAAGCCCTGGAGTCAGAAAAATAAAAGGAAAGAACTCAGTCAGCATTTCTCAAGCTGAAAGAACCAAATACTGAAGGATTCTATGGACAAAATATAGAACAATGCAAAACAAAGACAAAACCCCAAACCAAACTCACTGCCATCAAATCAGTTCCAAGTCACAGCAGCCGTACAGGATCGAGTAACTGAGTGATTCAGGAAGCATCAAAAGAAGATGGAAGGAACACCCAGAACCACTGTTAACAAAATGAATTGGCCATTGCCCAACCATTCCAATTAAGAACCAATGATAAAAGGATACGGAGCCAACTAAGAGTTCATTAGCACCAATTTTCAGTTTATTGGAAGAGGGAGGAAGAAAATAAACATTTTGTTAAAAAAGAAAAAAAAAGAACCAATGATATTGACATAAATCGAAGTTACACTAAAGGTGAAAAACAAGGTTCCAGGGATTGACAAAAACTCACAGAGCTGAGTAAGTAAATATAATGCCGAAAACACTCATCTCTGACACACACACACACACACACCAAAAAACCTTGGCCAACTGACTGAAAGAGATCCATATCTCTGCCCAGTGTGTGTGTGGAATCAAGGAGAACGACGAAATTATCAAGCAACATTGACAGGGAACTGCATAAATTTAATTGGATTCAAAAGAGGCCATGGAACAAGGGATGTCAGATGGATCTTGGCTGAAAGCAGAGAATACCAAAAAGATGTTCCCTTGTGTTTTATTGACTCTGCAAAGGTATCTATGGATAACATATTCAAGAATAGGAATTCCAGAAGATTTAATGTGCTTATGCAGAACCTTGCACAGACCAAGAGGCAGTAATCTGGAGAGAACCAGGCAGAGCTGCATGCTTCAAATCAGAAAACAATTCTATCAGAAGGGAGAACTGATCACAAGGATCTATATATAACCTCCTCCCTGGGGGACGGACAACAGAAAATTGGGTGAAGTGTAGTACATGACAAAATAAAAATAATTTCTAAATTATCAAGGGTTCAACAGGGAGGGAGGGGAAAAATAAGGAGCTGATACCAAGGGCTCAAGTAGAAAGCAAATGTTTTTTGTTTTTTTTTGAAAGCAAATGTCTTGAGAAGGATGAGGGCAACAAATGTACAAATGTGCTTGACACAATGGATGGATGGATGGATTGTGATAAGAGATGTATGAGCCCCCAATACAATGCTTTAAAATAAAGAAATAAATAAAAGCACACACACACACACAAAGTCTCTCTCGGGGGTTTCAGTCTTATACTCACTCTGTGCTGAGCAACTATTCTGAGAAGATGGACTAAGATGACGGGTGTTAAGACTGGGATAAAGATCATTAATAACCTGTGATAGGCAAATAACACCTTACTTGCTGAAATCAAAAAGGATGTGAAGCTCTCTGATGAAGATCAAAGACTACGCCTTGATATGGATTACACCTTAACACAGAGAAAACCAGAAGTGTAACCGGGCCAGTAAGCAACACATCGTTAATGGAGACAATACGGAAGTTGCAAAGGATTTAATTTTACTGATTGACAATCAATGCTCATGGAAGCAGCAGTCGAGAGATCTAATGAGGTACTAATGAGATTTGCATGGGGCACATGATCTCTTGACCATGTTAAAAACGCAGATGTCACTTTGAGGACCAAGGTGAGCCTGAGCCAAGTGATGGTATTTTCAGTCACCTCATGTGCATCATGTGAAGACCAAACCAAGGGATCAGAGGCTGGAGAAGTGGTGAAAGATTGGACGTATCCTGCATGGAGGGCCAGAAGAATAACCAAATCTCACTTGGAAGTACAGTCAGGATGCCCCTTTAGACGGCAAGACTTCATCTCAAGTGCTTGGATGATGTCCTCAGGAGGGACCAGTCTTTGGAGAAGGGCATCAGGCTTGGTGGAGGAAGGCCCTCAAGGAGGTAGAGGCGATGCACACACAGTGGCTGCAGCCCAGTATGGTGGTGAGGGCAGCGCAGGCGTGCGGCAGGGTCCCCCCCTGTTGTACATGCACAGGGCTGCTGGCGTTGACACGGACTCAACAGCACCTAAGAACTACAGGCTGAGATGGGTACTGCCACAGAGAGGAGGCCCTAAATGTGTGCAGGAAAAACATACCGCATTTAACCAAAGAGTTGGTGGTTCAAACCCAACCAGTGGTTCCATGAGAGAAAGACCTGCTGATCTGCTCCCCAAAAGACTGCAGCCAACAGTTCCATCTTATGCAAGAACTGTTTTACTGAGTTCCATAATTTCCAAGCATTTTATGTGGGGGCCCATTATTTATGTGGGGGCGTAATTTTAAATATATATATATCCTATAAGATTCAGAAAATTCGTGAAAGGCAAATGAGAGGGAAAACACCTTGGGAAGCGACATGAATTATAAAACAGACCGAGCAAGAAAGAGCAAGTGCTACAAAATTACCTCGGAAGAAAGAGCAAGTGCTACAAAATTACCTCGGCAGGATGTCTCTGAGCTTTCCATGGAATCCAGCTTTAAAGCATCAAACACCTCAAAATCCGATTTCTTGACATGGATCAAATTATTAATTGTGCCCAGCTGACTGGTAACCACAGGCTGAAACAGTGAAGGCAGAAAATTAATAGTGAATCCCCTTCTCAAATCCATCTCTTCCATCCAACCCTCCTCTGCTACAAATTAAAGAACAATCACAGTCAGCACACCTCAATCTGTTAGCAAGAGAGCAATCCTCCAGTGAAGGGGAGCTGCCGTCCATCAATCCCCACAGCAGAGAGCTTTGACACCCAGGGGAATGACTGCTAAAACGAGACTGTTACATTCATGGCTACCCTCGGTGACCATGGCCTCACCTCTGATGGATCATGAACCCACTGTCCATCCACAAAGAACTTGTACTGGTGCTCTCCCTCAGGAAGGTCCAGGATGGCCACAAAGTCATTATGGCTACAGAAAAACAAAAAAGTGGGGGAAAGTTGGAAGTTGTTCCAATTAGAAGACAGGAGATAGCGTGTGGCCAACACAGTGTCATTGTACCCATGACTCCCATGTTCCTAAGCCTTTGTAACCCTGGAGTGGAAAACAATGTCTGAAATCATTCTTTTATCATGTTGGAAATATATGATGGAGGCTTTGAAAAGTTTATGGAAAAAAAGAATGAAAAGAGAATGGAATTTTCCCACGAACTTTTTGAAGCCCCCTCGTGTTTGCCAGGACCTCCAGAAAACTTTAGTTCTTAATAAGGAAAAAATCGAAGGGGCTGATACCCCCAAAAGGTTTACCTTAGTACAACTATTTTTTATCAACAAACCAGACCCCTCACATGTGTAAATAAGGCAATAGGTAGGTTCTGGAAGGGTCTCAAGATAATCTTTTCGTATTTTGGTGAGCCTTTTTCTGGCAAACTTCCTACCAAGCAAGGCTATTCTGATAACCAGGTAAATGATGCATTCCTCAATCAGTGACCAAAACACCCATCTACCAAGAACTTCACAATGTGACTGATGTCTGCTTAAATGCGGATGTAGAGCAACTGGGTTCAGTCAGACCCAGGAGCCTTCCTTTGTGCACGCATGGAAAAGACTCACGTTATCCAAGTTCTAACGAATATACTCACAGAAATTCTAAGTTCTTCTGAAGCAATAGTATTCTAAGTGGTAAAATAGGTCTAACTCACTGTAAGGTTTTTGTTTGTTTGTTTGTTTTCTTTTCCTTGTTTGTTTTTTTAAGCCACGGATACAGTAAGTAGTTCATGGATGGGGCTATGTTCCAGAGAGAGTCCTAGCCTTGGGAGAAGACTAGACCAGCCAGGTCTCTCTTTTGAAAAAGGAAATCCTATCTAGTCCTGGACCCTGCAGACTCAACCAAGATGCTGGTCTTCACCTCTTAATCAGTGGAATCTTGGTGCTCCAATTGTTGAAGGACCCCGAGATGAAGACCTCCTTGCCTCCTTCAGACCAGCGGATCACGGTGGGCCGGGCCTGCTGGGTGGGCTTCACAGTGTCTTCCAGATCTTGCTGCCAAGACACAAACTCTTTGTCCCCAGGGAGCTGTGGTAAGAATTAAGTAATCCGCAGAATAAATTGTTACCCAAGGGTTCTTAATAGGTCACTGCCCTTTTAAAATTGAATTGTGTCCTCCAAAGGGTTATGCTGAAGTCCTAACCTATGTACCCATCAATGTGACATTGTGTGGGAAAATAGGGTTTGTATTTAAAAAAACAAAAAGATTATTATTAGTTAAATCATACTAGAGAAGGGTGGGCCCTGGTCTGAATCCCTTCTGAGTAGTATTTTATTAAAGGTGAGGATAGACGTGATAACAGAGTCATCAATATCCACTATCACTGTCAACGAGTCAAATTCCAGCCCATATTGACCCTACAGGACAGGGCGGAACTGCTCCCTAGTGTTCCAACCAGCCAAACTCACTGTCATGGAGTCCGTGCCGACTCATAGCGACCCTATCGGACAGAGTAGAACTGCCCCTATGAGTTTCCAAGACTGTATTCATTATGGTAGTCCAAAGCTCATCTGTCTCCCACGGAGCAGCTGATGGTTTTGAACTGCTGACTTGGCGGCTAGCAGCCCAGTATGTAACCACCATGCTTCAAAAACCACAAATCTTTATGGGAGCAGGCAGCGTTGTCTTTCTGGAGCCTTGAAATTAGCAACACAGGTTGTGAACAAACTACGTATAGAAAAAGTATCTAGGGGCCCAAATAGTCAAATGGCTTATGCTAAGTCATTGCCCATTTCACAGCCCGGACTCCTCACTTTCAGAGTACTGTTGCTATGTGCCCTGAGTGAATCCCGCCTCCGGGCCCGAGGCAGTAAAACTGCTCCATGGCCAAGGTTGTGACCTTCCAGGAACAGATTACGGTGTCTGCCTCACAAGATTCCTCTGGGTGGATTTAAACTGTTAACTTTTCGGCTATTTATAGCATATATAGGGAGCTTCCAGAACCTTCCAAAAACAAATAAAAAACCAAATCACTGCCACTGAGTCAATGCCAACTCCTATCAACCTCATAAACAGGACAGAACTGCTTCTGTGAGTTTCTGAGACTATAACTCTTCTCTATGGGAATAGAAAGCCTTTCCAGCAGCTGGTGGTTTTGAACTACTGACCATGGGGTTAGCGTCCCTAAGCCACCTGGGTTCCTTTTCAGAATCTTAGGCAATCCTTTTTCATAATGTTTTTCAGAAAAGAGAGCGGGATTGATAAGTTCTCTCCCTTTCTTAAAAAAAAAGAGGGGAGCATAAGCGGTCCCACATTTAAAAAAGGTTTAACTCTTATCACCAATGTACTCATAGGGAAGCAATTACGATATGTTTCTGAATGCCTCTTAGGAGAAAGCATACAAAAGCCAAGTCGGGACATATAAGAAGCAATAATCATTTTTGCACGGACAAATGTAAGCAGCCTGGAGATAATGGCATTCATCGAAAACTTCAAACTCCAGAAAACAGATTTCTTAAAACTTGAGAAGTAGTTATGAAATTGGGCTTGCTCACCCATTCCAGGTATGCATTACTTATATCAGGAGCACATAAGAAAGTCCCGGTGCCTCCGGGCGCAGCAGACCCAAGCCACAGTGTCTTTAACCAAAGCAACTCTAATATCAAATGAAAGATGGAGGATTCTAAAAAAAATCGATCCTTTCCTCAAGTGAATTTTTTTCACTACCATCCTTTAGCCCACAAGTTGGCACACAGCCAGTGGCTGAGATGTCTTTGTAAAGAAAGTTTATGGGGACCAAGCCCCACTCACATTGTTACTTTTTCACTACTGTAACAGAACTGAGTAGTTGACAGATATGTATGGCCCTTTACAGGAAAAACAACAACAACCAAACCCAACAACTGGAGGAGCCTCTGTTTTATTGTTGGTTGTCATGGAGTCAGCCCAACTCATGGTGGCCCCCATGCACAAAGGAATGCTGCCCCGTCCAGTATTTCATTTCCATGATTCCCTGTAGCTGGGACCACTGGGATACACAGAGTTTTCTTGGCTGATTTTCAGAAGTAGATTACCAGAACTTTCTTCTTAGTCTCTGTCTTGAGTCTGAGAGGCCCACTGGCACCTGGCCAGCAACCGGGCAACACACAAGCCTCCACTGACAGATGATGGGGTGGTGGGGTATGCACGAGGAGTACCGGCCTGGAATCAACCCCAGGGCTCCCGCATGTCGAACAAGGTTTCCATCACGGAACCACAAACATTTCACTTTCATTCACTCATTGCCTTCAAGCCAGTGCCGACACAGAGCAACCTCCTGCAGGTTTCTGAGATTGTGGCTCTTTACAGGAGTAGAAAGTTCAGTCTTTCTCCCATGGAGCTGCTGGTGGTTTTGAACTGTTGACCCTGAGGATCGCAGCCCAACATGTAACCTCTATACCAAGAACGCTTGTTTCATCTTAGACGAGTAGAAATGACTTTGGAAAATAGGACAACATACACTAGGTCAAAATTTTACCAAATACAACTAGCTTATTCATTTGGGTTGTCTGTCCATAGTCATGAAGGCTACCAGTCCGTGGAGCATGTCCCCATGCCTGGTAAAGTAGAGGGTCAGCGAAGAGCCGCAGCAAGATGGACGGACACAGCGACTGCAACAATGGGCTCAAGCATAAGAACCACTGTGAGGATGCTGCAGGACGGCCAGTGCTGCCTTTCAGGTCACTGTGTGTCGAGAATGACCTGCCAGCCAGCAGCTAACAACAGCACTCTTCCAAACTATCTCTTGATAGCCCTCAAAACTGGGAGCAGCACAATCCAAAGTACATGCAAGAAGAGAATCGAAAGAACTTTCGTGTTAGAAAAGGAATTGGCTGAAGAGAAAATCTTGATCTCCCTGTTTTCAAAGGAAAATACTCTTCCCTGACCAGCTGCGTCAAAATGATGGGCATTTTTACAGATGCTTCAGAAACCCCTCAGATTCCGGTCTCACCTACTCCACGATCCTCAAGTTCATTCCCTAGTGACCCTGGAGCCAGAACGGAAGTGCCTCACAGGATTGCCCAATCTTTCCGGAAGCTGAAGACCCAGCTTTCTCTCCCAGAGTGGCTGATCTTTAGCTTGGCAGCTGAGCGCTTTAACCACTGCATCACCAAGGCCCATGCTTCAGGAATGATAGAGGCTGGAGAGTGATTTTTCCCAGTGCTTCTCTAACAGTAATGCTGTGGTTATGTTAAAATTAACAGGGACCAAAAAAGCCTCGCCTTTAGAGATAGATCCTGAAATAGCTGCAGATAAATGTGCTTCAAATAATTGGTAGGGGTGGTGGTGGTGGTGGTGGTGGTGGTGGAGTGCAGATTAGGGCAAAAGTTAAATTTGTATGTGTTTAATCTTACTTCAGTTGATTAAAAGGCATACATATACCTTCCTTACTGTGTAATGAATCCATATATACTTATATATATGTATACACATACACACACATATATATAAAGGCCACTTATGGAAAATTTGGAAATCACACAAAGTAGGGAGAACTGTGTAATGTATACATGGATTCATTACACAGTTCTCCCTACTTTGTATGATTTCCAAATTTTCCATAAGCGGACTTAAAAAACTTCAGGCAATTCTACTGTACTAGGATGGAGAACCATCAAACTGGTTGACTAACGATCACTTATGACTTACGATTTTCCATTTAGAATCTGGACGCTGCACACCACTAACACGCCTAGCTTTGGAGGAGAGCCCTTCCCCACATGACATGGTGTGGCGGGCAGGCGTGAGTGCAGCTGGCTGGCTCAGCGAGTGTTTACTCCAAGTCACACAGTCAGCAAAACCGCCGGGGAGCGAGGAAGCACAACTCAAACCATCGTGTGACAGCTCAGTACGAGGATGGAAGGCGTGCAAAGGGTGGCACGAGAAGTATAAATCTGACATTCGGAAAAGACTTTAAGATGACCGAGAGCAGGTTTCTTCTTTCACAAATCTCCAGCTTGAACTGAGAGAAAGAATGACTCAACTAGGCCCCCACGCAGGCTGAGGGCTGGCTTCTCTTCAGGCCACTGATGACTGCAGTCGCTGTTGGATAAATATTCAGCTCCTGAGTCACTGAAGCAGGACAAGGGGCAAAAAGACGATGAGGGCAGATGCGCTTGCGAATGCTTGGCGGAGGTAAATTCAGATGTCTGCTTAGACAGGCTAAAAGGAAGAGAGAGAGGTCCTGCCGTGGGAGAGAAAAGAAAGGAACGGAGAAGAAGTCCCCAGACAAGCTCCTTTCAATTACCCTCTTTCTCGCTTCCCTCGATTGGGCTCCAAGGAGCTACACAAACCACAGACTCCGAATTTCAGACTACAATTGTGGCAAACAATCCTCTGCTTACTGTCTGAGACACCAGTTTGGTGGGAAACGATGAGGTGATGAGAGACACACTCCAATCTCATCAATCCCTCCATTATTCTACTTCAGCCTAGTCAGTCTAGCTGGGTGAATGAAATGTATTCATTACCGAAAGCTCTACTGGGATTAGAAACATGAGGCCCAACTCACCACGCCGTCAGGCCCATCTGTCCTCTTTGTAGCATGAACACAAGGTACTGCCTTGGATTGGAAAGCATAGGTCCCGGGGCAGCTATAGCTGGTCGTCTTGTTAAACTGTGGCAACATGGTGAGGTACAACTGGGAGGGCGAGGGTGAGCCAAAGAGGAAGCCCCGTGAGGAGCTGTGTCGATACAGAGGCTACAGCAAGGCCCTCACGCACAGCAGTGTGGGCTCTGCTGTGCACAGGGTTACCATGCATCAGCACTGACGACAGCATCCAGCAATAACAAAGAGGAGACCTGGTGGTGTAGTGCTTACACACTGGGCTGCTAACTGCAAGGTCGGCAGTTCAAAATCACCAGTGCTACTATTATAAAGAGTTGGTGTTTGGGAACTCACCGGAGCAGTTCTGTCCCGTGCTACAGACCTGCTCTATGTTGGCATGGACTAGGTGGCAGTTGAGTTTGTGTTTTGGGAACAAGAACAGAAAGGACTGGAAATGGAAAATTGGTGGAGTCTCAGAATCATTTGCTTCCTCACTTGAGCAGCAGCTGGGCGGCACAGACTCAGCCAACACAACTATGAAGTACAGGAATGACAATGTCCAGCCAAGCAGACTTTACTGGTCCCCAGAGGCACCATGGTAGCATCATGGGCGAGGCAGTGAGCTAGTAAACAAAAAGGGCAGACAATTCAAACCCACCAACTTCTTTTTTTTTTTTTTTTTTTTTGAATGGTCGGGTGCAGTGGCGGGTGGCTGGACCCACCAACTTCTCCACATGATAAAAATGAGGCTTTCTACTCCTGAAAAAAAGTTAGTCTTGGAAACCCACCGGAGCAGCAGTGCTACCCTGTCTTATATGATCACATTGAAATTGATCCGATGGCAGTGATTTTTTTGAGGGGGTAGGGGGTAGCTTATAGGGTTGCCATAGGGTCTTGGTAAATCCATCTGGTGTATTGGTCATGAGTTAGACTGCTAACTGCAAGGTCAGCAGTTTGAAATTACCAGCAAAGTCTGGACTTTCTACTCTCCTGAAGATATACAGACTCAGAAACCCACATAGAAGCAGTTCTACTCCATCCTGTAGGGTCACCATGAGTCAGCAACAAGAGAGATAGGGTCGCTATGAGTCAGGATGGAATGGGGGGCAGTGAGTATCGGACCCAGGGCTAGGATTGCTGTCAGAATCCATACAGTTGATTTTGACCTGGGACCACAGGGCAGAACTGTCAGGCCCACGAATAAGACTCAACGGTACTGGCTATGGGTAATCTTTACAGCGTCAGATGGCCAGTCTTTCTCCCAGAGAGCCACTGGACTCACAAGGCCAAGGCCAAGTCTGGTTAGCAGAGGGGGTTCTTAACCAATGCACACCAGGATTTCTTAAGGTATTCAAATAAGCAAGTGGTTGCTGCTGACAGCCATGCCAAATAGGGAAGAGCCACAGGCACACCAAGCTCTTACGGCAAAAATGGTACTGCTACATGGAAGTGTTCGGGAGAAAGGCAATCCATTTAACCAACTTAGGACCGACTGACAACTGGTCAGAAGCTCAGGCAACTTACTGCCTAAGTTTTCCATTAGGGCTAACAAAGCATAATTCAGCAAGTCTCTAGAACCAAGGATTCTAGGGGGATTTATTATTCCCCATCTTAAAAATGTAGTCAACTGTTTTGAAAACCAGGAAAATCAGATATCCCTTTATCTTATCTTGTGGCAGCACCACAGGAGAAACGATCATTCCTACACGCTTGACCCTGGAAAACCCCTTTAATTCAAAATACTGGCACCTAGGTCGGGATGAGAGAAAGACGCGGAGCCTTTACACGGCGGGTGCATACCTTGGGGTCCTGCAAGCTGAAGACGTTGGGGTCGTCGATGCTCCCCACCATGATCTTGTGCTCCTTGCCCGGGGCATGGCCGCCGGCACCTTCGGCGCGCGCTGCCTTGGTGCCGTGGCGCTCCCCGGACACCCGGTCGCTGGTGGTGTTTCCCATGACTGCGGCTCGGGTCGGGAGCCACCTGACGCGGAGAACGACACGGTGCGGGGGACACCCCGGCGGCCGCGTCAGAGGCGCCCCCGGCCCCGCCCCTGCGCCCTGGGATCCGAGCGGGGAATCCCCGCCCCAGGGAAGCCGTGCCCGGGATCCCCTCCCTGCCCAGCCTCCCGGAGCGTCCGGTCATCGCCGGGCGCCCGCACTGCCTCCTTCCCCGGACACCCGCTTCCGGGGACTCCCCGTACCCACTGCCCCCCGCACCCGGTGCCCACTGCCCGCATCCCAATCACCTCCCGCGTTCCGCTCCCTCCTCCCCCGGCCACTGGTGCAGTGGGTGCTCGGCAGAGAGCTGCACCAATAAAGTTATTGAAATTGAAGCCGCACCTCCGCGGGTAGGGATCCGGATTTCCTCCTAAAATGGCTACGAGGCCAGTAGCCCTGGGCACGCCCCGCACGCGTTCCCAGCGGCTCGTCCCC